GCACAGGGAGCGCCCAGAAGGCGGCGGCTGGAGCGCGCCCGTGGGCGGCGCCGCAGGACCCCGGCTCTGGGCGCTGCGGCGCCTGCCTGCTCGCGCTGACTGGTCGAGAGACCCGGAGGGCCTCCGCCTCCTCCTCATCCTCCTCCTCCTAGGCGGGGACTGGATATGGGACGGGCGGGAAGGAGGCTGGTATTGGGATGGAGGGGGGGGGAAAGAGAGAGAGAGAGGGGGGGGGACGAGTAGTAGCACGGAGGAGCAAGAGAGTGAAGGATGAGGGGGAGCACCGTGAGCAGGATGAGGGGGAGGACGACGAGGCAGGGAGAGGATACGGAGGGGGGCGAGGTGCGGGCGGGGAGGAGGAGGAGGAGGAGTTGGCGGAGGAGGAGGAGGAGGAGGAGCTGGAGCAGGAGGAGGAGGAGGAGGAGGAGGAGGAAGAGGAGGAGGAGAAGGAGGAGGAGGAGGAAGATGAGAAGGAGGACCAGTGTAAACCCAAGATTCATCAACGAATTCGCAATACACCCTCCCTTCAAGATCCCTCTTCTTAGGCCCCTACAAGGGGTCATTGCCACTGCGGGAAGTGCCCCGTCGGGGGGACAACCGTGTGAACATCTTGAAGCGTGCCAAAATACCGCTCTCAGGACTTCAACAACACGAGTTGACTTGACTGGTACGCCTATGCGATCCTGAATCTTGCCAGAAAACGCTTACTGGGACTTCAACACCGCGAATCAACGTTTCTGACATGTTAACCATAAGAATCAGTGACATGCTTCAAATGCTTAAAATGAATGCGCGCGGCGCTAAAGCGAGAGCCACACGTTGGAAAGGAGCCGTCTTCAACCCGTGCAATTCTTGCAACGTGTTAAAGCGAATGTGCGCAGCGGTAAGGCGAGAGCCACATTTTGAAAACCACCCGCCCTCAATCCGTGACAATCACATGTTGAAAACGAATGTGCGCGACGCTAAGGCTGGAACCGCATTTTAATAAGGAGCATCCCTCAATCCGCTAAGCTCTTGCAAATGTGTAGATCGAACGTGCGCTGCGCTAAGGCGAAAGCCACATTTTGAAAACGAGCCGCCCTCAATCCGTGAAGCTCTTGCAGATGTTTAAAGCGAATGTGCGCGGTGCTAAGGCGAGAGCCACATTTTGAAAATCGCCTGCCCTCCATGTGTGAAACTGGTGCCATTTGTTGAGCGTAAGGGTCATGAGTTGTGAGGAAGTCTCTGTCGAAACGCCCAGCCCGCCCTTTCGACTGGCCTCGGGAGGGAAGAGTTATCGATAGTTATCTTTCAGGACAATGCGCCCACCCATCCCAAGTCATGTCCTCATCAGCCCCTACAAGAATTCCGCTTCGCCGCGGGAAGTATCCTTTTGAAAGACGAGCGCCACACGGCCCTGAAACTCAGGCGAGCGCCGGGTCTTGAAAAGGAGTTGTTCCCCGTGCTTCTAAAAAATAAAGACGGCGACGACTCAGGACCAGAAAAGTAAAGGAAGTGTCCAGCGAAGGCACCGTTATTTTTTGAAGAGCCGTTCTCTCTGTCCATGCAGATGCTCTCCGAAAAAAATCAGATTGTAAGCCACCGGGACGTTTCAAGCAAGCGCCCCGATTTCAAAAGGAGCGCCATCCATCAGTGCAATGGCTCAGAATTAGTAGTCCGAATGTGCACGGCGCTGAGGCGACAGTCAAATTTCGTAAACGCGTCCCCTCCATCCGTGTAGCTGGCACACGGCGCTAAGGCGAGGGCTACATTTTGAAATTGCATATCCTTCCGTGTAGTTATTGGGAACTTCTAAGACGAATGTGTGCTGCGCTCTGGCCAGAACCACATGTTGAAAAGGAGCCTCTCTCCATGCGTGTAACGGGTGTAAGATTTCAAGGCGAATGTGCGATTCGCTAAGGCGAGAGCCACATCTTGAAACCCTCTCCGTTCGTGCAAGTGTTGCAATAAGTTAGGGGCCGCCTCGTTGGCGGGGTGGGTCTGGCGAAGTTTCACCGCCTTGCCGCCCGCTGCCACTTCGTTGCCACTCTAGCTTGCGCCACGTATACTGCACCTGCTAGCTTACACCACATAGTGTTCACCACGTAGCTTACACATCCAAAGTGACATAAGTTATGCTGTAGGGCCCACGCCAGATAACATACATCATCATGTACATACAAATATATAAATCTGTAGTGTGTGTATACATACACGTGTATACCCGCACGCGTATATCTAGATTCATGCGTATACGTATGAACATACATGCGTACACACAAATACATGCATACACATACACATACACATACACATATACATACATACATACATACATACGTACGTACGTACGTACATACATATATACATACATACATACATACACACATACATACATACATACATGCATGCATGCATACATATGTGCACATGTACATGCATGCATATATATATATATATATAAATGTATACATGCACACATGTATCCAATCTTGCATCCGTACATGCATACACATAGATAAGCGCATGCATATGCATGTATAATTACAATATATATACACATAATCTACATATGAATATTCCACCATACATACATACATACATGCATGCATGCATACATACATACACACATATAGATACACGTATACGTACAAGCATACATACATACACACATACATACATACATATATGCATACACACATGCATGCATGCCTGCATACATGAATGCACACCTACATGCATGCACGCATTCATGAATACACACATACGTGCACGCATGCTTGCATGCATGAATGCATGCATGCATGCATACATGCATACATACATACATACTTACATGCATATACACATACCTACACATACATACACACATGCGTGCATACATACATTCACACGTACATACGCACATACGTAGATACATAGCCATAGAGGTTAACATACGTACATAACTACACGCACGCAGGTGTTTGCTTGTTTCGATTCGTCGTTCCGCGTTGTTGACGTCCCCCTCCGTTCCCTTCTCCCCGCTTTCCCACAACACTCCTGCTCCTCATCCACCCCCTGGACTTCCATCCGCCTCCTCTTCCTCCAGTGTACAAAAGCCCCCACCTTCCCGGAGGATTCCTCCGCGCATCCCGGCGTCAGCCCGCTGGCGCACCTCCTCCTCCCCGAGGGCAGCCGCCGCCGGGCCATCCGAGGGCGAGGCGCGTCGCCCAATGAGGACGACGAGGACGCCGAGGACAATGAGGACGACAAGGACGACGAGGACGGCGAGTACGCCGAGGGCGACGAGGGCGACGAGGACGACGAGGACGACCAGGACGACGAGGACGACGAGGACGCGGACGAGGACGACAAGGACGACGAGGACGACAAGGACGACGAGGACGGTGAGGACGACGAGGACGACGAGGACGAGGACGAGGCTTGGGCTTTGAAGGTCCCGCCAAAGGCCTGGCCAGCTCGCAGGAGCCTCTTGCCTTGAGCACGCTGGCAACACGCTGACGCTCGCCACGCGATCTTTCGTGCCTTGGCCCCCCAGAAGCCAGCAACGAAGTCCGTGCAGCCAGCGGAAACCGAGCTGGCACCGTCGTCACACAGGCCTCAGAACAAATTAGCGAACACATGCCACATTCATCCGTCAACGCCTCCCCCTCCCCCCAATGTTCAAAGTTGGCGGTGGGTCTGATGAGATGCACTTCGACCGCAGTCTCCCCCGCGCGTGCCAACATTGAGCTTGGGGGGGAGGGGGAGTGTTCAGTAATTGTTTCCCTCTACCGCAGGAAGAAGCGGTCCGCAGTCGGGACCCTTCTCAGCGTGTGGAAGGCGCGGCTCGCCCTGGCCAGACACCACTCGGCCCAGAGCGCAGGCCCAGACAAAGCGCAAGGTTGAGCTCGGCTGCGCGGCTGCGGCAAGCATGTCTTGCCTCTGGCTTGGCACTCACCACCCACCAAACCACCCCAACCCAACCCGAAGGCTCAGATTTACCCTCGATTTCCAGTTGGGGGGGGTCGGGAAACATCGAAAAAACACGTGAGGAATCCTTACCCCTCCAACCCGAAATTCGGGTCTTCGGGTTGGGTTGGGGTGGTCTGGTAGGTAGTCAGGCACTGCTCGCGTGGGACGGGATGCGCATCTCGTGTGCGGGGGCCCGGCGCCAGTCGGCAGCCGCGGTCGTGGCCCTGCGAAGGAAGCACGATTAGAGCAGCAAGTTTCAGAGCGTCACGTCCAGCTGATGATGTCCAGGACGGCCCCAGCGCCGGCGACGGACAGACAGGAGAGGCCGAGCCATGACGGCGCATCGGCAGGAAAATTTGCAATGTAAAGGCCAGTAGAACTCGTACGAAAAGTTGGCGGCTGAGTGCAAGCGAGCCAGAGCGCATCCATTGCGCAATTGCAGTACGTAAGTGGACGGCGGCGGGCAGCACAATAACACGGGAGCGTCATGCAGCATGCAAGGGAGGGCGAGGGAAGGAGGAGGACGACAACGACGAGGGGGAGGGACACTGAACCAAGAATTCATGCAATAGTTTGCCACAGCAGCCTCCCATTACGCAGGCGGGCTTCTCGGAAGAGCTTGTTCGCATCGTTCCCTGCCGCGTTCGTCGAGGTCGTCCACGCTTGCGACATGTTTTCCATTTTCTGGGTGAAATGTTGCCCACCTGGCGCACGATGTGGAATGGGTGGGTGACGTACTGGCGCATGCAGGGCAGATGCCGCCACGCTGACCAGTGCATCTTCTGCAGCACAGCAGTTCCAGATTCGATCGAGCATTACGAGACTTGCCTGGCAGTGTGGCAATTTGCGTTGACAAGGTAAGGGTTTCGCCGCCCAGCGAAACGACAAGAGTGCATGAGTTGTTTCCTGTTGCTGGATGTGCCCATCTGCCGCCCAAGCAGACGCCCGACTCGACTTTATTTCTCATTTCGGAGTTGCTTACCCTTGAAATGAAGGCCAGCGGGATTTTATGGATCTTCTGAAGACACTTTGCTTAGAAGCCGTCGAGCTTGTCCCGATCAGAAGCAAGCAGCACGCACGACTCCAGCGCCAGGCGTTTCGCCAGAAACGCACCCGCAGCGGGCAACTTGGAAACCAACGATGGAGCACAGGGAGCACAGAGCAGACCGAGACGAGACGAAAGTGAGGCTCACGGTGTTCGGACCAATGACACAGGCGGCGATGGAAGCTCAGAAACCCCGCAAAGATCTGAAGACGGAGATCCAGGGGAGGAGAATAGACACAGATACAAAAAAACGATGATTCCCACGGCAACGTTAGGAAACATGGGGGTATTGAGGGGACGAGAAGCATCAACAAACATTTTCCCCAAACACTGCTTTCTTACTTCTGGATCCTCATTTCTTTTCTGGGAAACTGGGCCTGGTTGCCAGGTCCGCCGCCTCTGTTGTCGCCGTCGCCGCCTTGTCGCCGCCCGCCTGTTGTGAGGAATTGAGCCCGGTTGCCAGGGCCGCCGCCTTGCTGTCGCCGTCGCCGCCCCGTCGCCCTCCGCCTTTTCTCAGGAATTGGGCCAAGGTCGCCAGAGGAGGAGGGAGCTGAAGAGGAAGAGGCGGAGGAGGAGGAGGAGGAGGAGGAGGAGGAGGAGGAGGAGGAGGAGGAGGAGGAGGAGGAGGAGGGGAGGAGGAGGGAGGAGGAGTGAGAAGGAGGGAGGAGGAGTAGGAGGAGGAGGAGGAGGTGGAGGGGGAGGTGAGAAAGAACGGAGGAGGAGGTGGTGTAGGAGCGATGAGCGAGGATGGTGGGGGAGGAGGAGGAGGGAGGCGGATGAGGAGGGGGAGTGAAGGAGAGGGAGGTGGAGGAGGAGGGAGGAGGAGGAGGAGGAGGAGGAGGAGGAGGAGCGGAGGAGGTGGGAGGGGAGGGAGGGACGGTGAGGGTAGGATGGAGAGGAGGAGGAGGAGGAGGAGGAGGAGGAGGCCAAGGAGTTGGGCCCAGTCGCCGGGTCCGCCGCCTTTGTTGTCGTCGTCGCCCCGTCGCCGCCTCGTCGCCGCCCGTCGTCGTGGCCCGGTTGCCAGGTCCGCCGCCTCTGTTGTCGCCGTCGCCGCCTCGTCGCCGCCTCGTCGTTGCCTTGTCGCCGCCTTCGTTGTCGCCGTCGCCGCCGGGTCCGCCGCCTTTGTTGTCGTCGTCGCCGCCCCGTCGCCGCCCGTCGTCGTGGCCCGGTTGCCAGTTCCGCCGCCTCTGTTGTCGCCGTCGCCGCTTCGTCGTTGCCTGTCGTCGCCGCTCTGCGTTGTTGTGCATTGGTTTGCATTGCTTTTGCACTGTCTTGCGTTGCGCTGTAGTGCGCTGCACTGCCTTGCGTTCATTGGGGCTGTGGTTCACTGCTGGACATTACTTTGCAGTGCGTTGCTTTGTTTTGCATTGCTCTGCAACGCGCTGCATCGCATTATGTTGTTTTGGTTTGCATTGCGTTACATCGCATTGCATTGATTTGTTTTGGTTTGCATTGTCTTGCATTGCTTTGCTTTGCTTGTCATTGCTTCTCCTTGCTATCGCATTGCTTTGCATTGCGTTGCATTGCTTCGCATTGCAATTACATTGCAATCGCATTACTTTGCATTGCGTTGCATTGCGTTGTATTACTGTGTATTGATTTGCATTGCATTGCATTGTCTTGCATTGCTTTGCATTGCCTGCATTGCTTTACATGGCTTTGCGCCGCATTGATGACACCACGTAGATTGCATTACATAGACTGCAAGAAATAACGATTTGAGGTCCACGTTGGCTAACAGGGAAAAAGATCGGGGATGTTGGACTTGGTGTTCATTTATTTGTGTCTCCCTGGGCCCCATTCAGAGATGTCCATTCTGAAGCAGGCGCTGGGTTTGCTTTGCCCGCTCAGCCGGCAGCCTGGAGAAGCCAAGACGATGTTGCACGACGCGGGGAAGACTTTATAGTAGCCCGTGCCAGAAAAACCCGCCTGCACGCCATCGACGAGTGCAAGCCGCTAATCCAGGACACCGAGTAATCAGAGGAGAAAAAGGTACCCATACCTCTACCCTTCGGCTGTTTTCCCATTTTTGGACCTCCTGGGAGGCCCTCGTCGCCACCGCTGGATTCGCCTCGAAATTTTGGTCAGAACGCACCCTGGGAGAGGTCCAGGGCGTAGTGGCATCATGTGGCATCCGTCCCTGTTGGTTTCCCCAGGTATCGCATCATGGTTGAGCTATCCGACCTTGCCAAATCAATGGTGCCTTTGTGTCTTGTATCTCGCGGCCCATGCCTTCTACATTCCCATGGCAGTGTGGCCCTCGGATGGGTCTTGTGTCCTCTCGCGTGTCGTCCGACTGTATCGCATCACGGTTGAGCTAGCGACCCGAAGAACGGCGGGTGCGTCATGGAGCAGGACACAGGAGCGGAAGGCGCAGACGCGGCAGCGCCAACGGTTGGCGCGGCGGCTGCCTCGGCTGCGACGTGCGCCATCACAGCAAAGTGCCAGGGAGCTGTGGCGCAGTGCACGGACATGCTCGCGCAGCTGCAGCAAGCGCAGGACACAAAGCTAAGCAACCACTCGGAGAGTGCTGCACGTGCGCTGCCTGGCGCTCGAACCGCAGACTGGGGAACGGCCGCCACCCCCACGGCCCTTGGGGCCCTACCCGGCGTCTTGCTCTCAGCAGCCGCCCACGGCCTTCACTCGGGCCGGACGAAAGGGGGGGATTGGGAAAGGGGGGGTTACGAAATTTGCTGCATGCAGCTGGTTTCGGCCTCACCGAGGGGCCCATTCCTCGATAGTCGCCTCGGGCGCCGGGAGGCGCCGGGAAAATCAGCTAGGTGAGCTGATTATCAAACCCCCCCTTTGCTATCCCCCCCTTTCGCCCGACCCGATACATGTAGACGCCCCTTGTCGGCTGTCCGGCGCCTGCACCAGTCACCGGCATCGGGAGCCTTGAGACGGGGGTCAATGCAAACGGGGGTCAGCCAGAGCGCCCGATCTTGCAGGATTTTGCAGGGCCAGGGTTGCATTGGCGCAGGATCCTGCAGCATCTTGCAGGATCTCTCGCACTGACCCGGGTTGGGGCGCAGGATCTTGCAGAATTCTGCATGGCCTGACTGACCTGGGGCTTTGGATTGACCCGGGTCAGAAGATCCCCGACGGCAGCCCCGCGGAATTCAGGAGACGCGGGCCGCCCCAGTGAGGAGCGGGGCGGGAGAGCGCAATATTGGAGGGAGGGGGCGGGAGGCAAGGAGCGGAGAGGAGGAGGAGGAGGAGGAGGAGGAGGAGGAGGAGGAGGAGGTGGAGCGGAATCGAGGAATCGGAAGAGCAGGAGGAGAAGGAGGAAGGCGCAACGGCCACGGGCCATGACTGGCCTGACGTAAAAAGGCGGGGGAGGAGACAGAGGAGGAGAGGAGGAGGAGGAGGAGGAGGAGGAGCTGGAGGAGGAGGAGAAGGAGGAGGAGGAGGAGGAGAAGGAGGAGGAGCGCGAGACGACGGCGACGGCGACGGCGACGACGGCGACGGCGACGACGGCGACGACGGCGACGGCGGCGGCGGCGGCGGCGACGACGACGCTGCGTCGGCTGCCGCGTCGGCCGCCGCGCGGCCCCCCCCGAGGCGCAAGTCGGCACCGGAGCTCGGGGCTGTCCCGTGCGTGCTCACCGGGGCTCAGCGCCCCCTCGAGCCAGCAGGCGCTGCGAGTGGCCCACCACGCTGTCGTCGTCGCCGTCGCCGCCGCCACCGCCCGTCTTCGTCGTCGCCGTCGTCTCGCCCTCCTCCTCCTCCTCCTCCTCCTCCTCCTCTCCAAGCTCCAGCTCCAGCTCCTCCTCCTCCCCCTCCTCCTCCTCCTCCTCCTGCTCCTCCTCCTCCAGCCCCTCCTCTGGCGCCACCAAGCCCCAGGCCGTCGGCTCCCGCCGACGGATTGGGCTTGGAGGCGCCCTGCGGCGCCTCTTGCGCAGCACGCGGCCTCGTGGGGGGGGGGGGTCACCTCGCGTGTGCCCTTCCGCGGTTTGGTGCGTGCCGCCGTTGGTCCGACTGTTGGTCCTCCCTTGGGCTGCCGTGCAAGCTCGTTCCTTGGCGCTTTCTCTCCTGCTGCCGGCTCTGCGCCAAGCGTGGGATGGCGCTTCTGGTGACCCTGCCCGCCAACCGGAGTCTTGGGCCAGAGTCTGTGGCGGTCTACGACCAGGTTTAGATCCCCCTCGCCTCCATCAGTCCGACGTTGATCAAGGGCACTCTCCGCAGGACCATGGCTCGTTTCTTCGGAGAGGAGGCTTGCCGAGAAGCCAGGGTGGGGATTGGTCCAGGGTGTATTTCGACATCGTGAAGGCGCAGGCTCGTTCCATGGAAGCTGCGGCCCTCGAGCAGGGCCGAATCGGGAATCTGGCTTGCGGGGGGGTTGTTGGGCGGCGGAGCGGGCCGAAGCCTTTTGGTTGCGTTCTGCCTTTAGAGCGTTTTTTTCTTGCGCCAGTCGTGCGGCACTGAGTACGACGCGTTGCACCATCGCTCGTGGCAGTGTGAGGCATGCGCCGACGAGTGTAGGAAGCCCGTCACGGCCGAGGCCCTCGACGACCTCAGTGATGAGGATCGCCTGTTTTTATATCGTGGCATTTTCGATCACCCTGAGAGCTTCCGGCCTGCGTGTTTCACGAGCGGTCAGGAGATCCGATCGGTTCATGACTATCCTGAGGGCGAGCGCGGGGACCTCAGAGGAAAGATGATAAAAGCTTCTCTTTGGCGGTGCGTGTTTCAGACATCCGATCTTCGAGCTCTGCGGAGCGGGATTGGGAACTACCCAAGTCCCAGATTCTGGGTATTTGCAGTACGCTGTGCTCGGACCAGAGCACCACCCGCTGCCGCAATCTTCTCCTTCTGCAGAGTACATTGCGATTGCCATGGCTGCGCTTCGGGCCACAGGGAAGAGCCAAGGCTTCTAGGCATGTTGGGCGGTCGTCAAGCAGTATGCCCCGTCCACTGCCAGGAGCACGTGTCGCACAAGCGACGTGTGCTGGTATGCGTCAGAATGTAATCATCATCAGCACACCTTCAAAAGTGTGGTGAGGAGGACAGGGCGCATCCGGACCCCCGTGCGCGACGAGCAGTGCCCGCAGGCCTGGTGATTCCCGCGCCGACGAGGCGGCACGCGCTGGAGCGATGGCGCACCCTCGACTTGCGCAGGCTGCGGCTGCTCGCGGCGCTCGTCTCGTCGCCGTCTCGCGCCGTGTGGGTCGGCCTGCTGCCACGTGCTGCCAAAGCGGTCGCCGCTTGACGTGGCGGGCTGTTCGTGGGCCAGGACTCGGTCCCAGGCCCAAGGTAAGGGGCCCCGAGACCCAGGCCCACCGCATCGCTTGGAGTAGCAGGCGAATCTATAGAGATGGGCTGTGTGTGTGTCGGGAGAGATGCTGGTTCCCTCGTCTCGTTCTTTGTGCTGAGCCATCCGAGGGGTCCTCGTCAGGAGAGTGTTCTGGGTCAAAGTGCCCTGGCCTCGACACTGCGGACTGCAATGGTCACAGAGTTGTTAGTTTGACTTGCTCGGACGGCGGTCAATGCTGTTTTGTATGTGTGTGTGTGGAATGTATCTTTACCGGGGTATTCGTGGGCATCTCGAGATCGCACGCTTTACCGTCTGATGTTTTTCCAGCAGCTGCGCCTTGAACTCCCTCTGCTCCTTAGCAGGGGGATCCCGCTAGGGATTCAGCGGGGCTGCAGGGCATTGTCTTGACCAACGGGTGAGCAATGCTCTCGTCCAACCCGTGCGGAGCTCGCCACTGCATTGTGTCTGCGTCGGCAGTTGATCGATGATGTCTTGCAGGGCATTATCATCCGCCCTTTCCTCCTCATCATTATCGTGACCCTCTCTTCTCTCTATTTTCTCGTCCTCCTGCCCATCAAGCCCCACCCTCCTTCCCAATCCCCACCTCATACCTCCACTCCTCCCTCCTGCTGCCCTTCCTCATCTCCTCCTCCTCCTCCTCCTCCTCCTCCTCCTCCTCCTCCTCCTCCTCCTCCTCCTCCTCCTCCTCCTCCTCCTCCTCCTCCTCCTCCCCCACCCCCCTCCTCCCTCACGCTGCCCTAGCCCCCCTCTCGCTGGGTTCGCCTAAAGCGTCGGCGCTCCGTGGGGGGGGGGGGGGCTGGGACCATGCGCCGTACGGCCAGCAGGCCAGGTGCGCTCGTAGCGGGGGTCGAAGTCGGTTGTTGTGTGGTCCGATAGCCCTGTTCCGGTTTGGTTTTCCCACTTGCAGTGGGGGCCCATGCCAAGAAGGCCACCTTGCCTGCCTTACAGCTTCCTCCTTCCTCCTCTCCTCCTCCTCCTCCTCGCTTCCTACCCCCTCCTCTCCGCCTCACTCCTCCTCTTCCTCCTCGTCTTCCTCCTCCTTCTTCTCCTCGTCCTTCTCCTCCCCCTCCGCCCCCCCCCCCTTCGCGACGTGGCGAGACCCCACCCACGGAGCGAGCGCACTTTCAAGGGCAGCGATACAGTGGAAACCCATGCCAAGAAGCACCCTGCTTGCCCACAGGGTGACTCGGGTTTCTTGGGTTTCGATGGCTTTGCTGTGGAAAGCGTGGCGTTCCCGCACGACCAATCCATGGACGTCCTGGGGTCTCAGGGTTTGGTTTCTTGTGGAAGGTTTCTTGTGGACTGCCTCCATTATAGGCCTGCCACTCGCAGAGGGGGGGTAGGGGGAGGAGGGGAAGGCTTCTTAGAAGCTTTCCTGCTTCTGAGAAGGCGCGGGCCTTTTCTATAGATGTAGGGCCTGAGCCTTCTGAGAATCAGCCTCCTTCTAGAAGCTTTCCCCCCGTCCCCCTAACCACTCCTGCGCGCTCCGAAGTAATTAGGGAGGCAGCGAAGGAGGTAGGAAGGGAGGGAGGGAGGGGGCAGCGGAATGGCTCGGTTCAGGCCTCCACTCAAGGTGCGTGACAAGTTTTACGATCCTGCCGACATTTCAGCTTGACGCAGGTCCCCAAGGAAGCTGTGCCAACCTTGTTCGGCACAAGGATTGCGCCAGTGATGCAGAATGCGGAACGCCTAGTGATCACAAGCACTGCCCATGACGACCGTTTGACCATGTTCGAGACGAGACTGGAGAAGATCCCGTAGCCAGGGGGCACATCCGCGAAGTTCATGCCAACACTCGTGGATACAGGTGTCGGAAACAATTCAGCAACACTCATGCAGAACATATGGTTTGAACTCCCGCCCCCTACCCCCAAATGCAATGTTGGTTTCGGATATTCCGATTTTCGGCCTCCGAGTGGTCTTCAAGGAACGTGCCAACTTTGAATTGCGGTGGAGGGGGGAAATATTGCTAAATTGAATCGCATCGCTCATTCCGCCGGCCCATATTGCCTCGCCGTTGTCGTTTGTCGGGGTTGTGTTGTCAATGCGGTGCGGTTTGGCGGCTGCCATTTTTCGGAGGCGGTGGGTGGTGGGTCAGAGGCCTCATGGATGTTGGTTGGGCTCTCGTGGTTGGTCTCTCAGGGGCCTTTGGGAGGCAGTTTTGAGGCCTCTTGGGGGCCGTGTAGGGGCCTCTTGGGGCCTCAAGGGGGCTTCTTGGGGCTTCTTGGGGTGCCTCTTGGGGGC